CCCACCTTCGACGCGCAGATGACGACGTTCCTGGGGGAGAGGATGTCCGCCACGACCTTTTCGGGTGCGCCGAAGAGGGGGCCAGGAGGACGAGGGGGCACAACGGTAGGGTAGGGGCAGAAGTGGGGTTGGAGAAACCATCGCTCTGGACGAACCCTGCAAGAACGAAACCGCGTGAAACAGAGGCATCCAACTTGGCCCGGTCCCCGGCCACGCCTTGGGAGCACCCTCCCCCGACGACTCCCCGGCCCGAGAGCCCGAAGACGGCGAAAAACCTGAGGACTCGCCAGCTCCTCAGGATTAGGTCGGGCATGTCCCACTACAGGCGGATTTTGGACCACTTTTCGGTTAGTGCGAAAGATACCCCAAACATGCCCAGAAACAGTCAAAAAGATCGTCCCCGTGTTATTTTTTTGACTATTCTCGAGCGTTCCTCCTGTGGAGGGAAATGCCCGACTTCATCTTAGGATCCCCTTCCCGCGGGAGCGGCCAAGAGGGGGGCGTCCAAGAGGGGGGGGTGCAAATCATCGCCGGCGGCAACGGGGCGCGGCCCAGGGGGGGGGGGGGCACGGGGACGTGATGAGAGAAGAAGGGGCGCCGTGAAGTCTGGGGAGACAACATGGCCCTCGCCATGATACCCACACCCCCCCAGTCGTCACCCCCCTCTGTGCCGCCCCCGATTTCTCCCCCCCCCCAGGGGGATCAGCGCCCCTCAAACGGGGACTCCACTAACGGGTACTTTGGCCAGTGACCCAGCGAACCCAACCCTTCCCGATGCGGGCAACGCTGCATTGCCAGAAAGAGGCCCTAAAGTGGCAACTTTCGGCAACACTGCAAAGTACCCGTTAGAAAGTACCCGTTGCGGTGCCGTTGAGGCGAAGGGGCCTCGCTCGTCACCGCGGCGGCCGGGGCGGCGCCCCGCACCGCGCCCTCGAGGTGCGCCGCCCAGCGCCGGTACTGCTCGCCGCCGTCCCGGGAGCCGAAGAGGCTCGGCGGCGCGGCGGGGTCCGCCTCGGGCGGGCGCCAGCGGCCCGCCCGCCCAGCGGGACGGGCGAAAGGGGGGGATAGCAAAGGGGGGGGTTGAGAATCAGCTCGCGTAGCTGATTTTCCCAGCGCCTCCCGGCGCCGGAGGCGGCCATGTATCGAGGAGTGGGCCCCTCGGTGGGGCCGAAACCAGCTGCACGCAGCAAATTTCGTAACCCCCCCTTTCCCAATCCCCCCCTTTCGCCCGGCCCGAGCCAAGCGGGACGATAGGGCAGGGAAGCCACGGTCCTCTTCCTCCTCATCCCACGAGAGTACCCCAGAGATAATCCCAAGACTTCCCCAGACTGTTGTTTTGCTATTGTTGAAGGTTCCCCCTGTGGAGGGGCGGGTCCGACTGAAGCCTGAGAGGCGGCCCAAAGACCAGAGCCCCCTCCCCAAACCCAAACTGGTCCTTGTGTCAGCGCCTTGACCGCCGCCCAGGTCGGGGTGAGTGCCGTCTCCTGCGGTTGGCGACGCCCCCGAGCCTTGCTGGGCAGGCAGCACGGCGAGAGCACGGCCACGCGCAGGGCGTCAATGCTCCTGGCCGGAGAGGGGCCGAGGAACCCTCGCGGCAGCCTGGAGCCGCCCAGAGGAAGCAAAGGGGGCATTCCTCGTCGTCCGCCTCGTCCGTCGTTGCCTTTATTGTCGTCTTCATATTCGTCGTCGCCGTCCCTCCTCCTCCTCCTCCTTTTCCTGAGGGATCCTCCTGCTCCCCTTCTTCCTCCTTCTCAGGTTTCCTTCTCCTGCTCCTTCTCCTCCTCCTCCTTCCATCTCCCGTGTTCTCCCCCTCACCCTTTCGTCTCTCCTATGGGTTGCCGTCTACTTGCCCTCGTCTCCTCTTCGCTTCCATCCCTTTCCTTGCGATCAGCTCCTCCCCGTTGCTCTACCAGGCGCGCTGAAGCTTGGCTGCCGGCGAATGCTTGCGAGTGCTTGCGATGCCCTCTCATTCCGTCCCATATTTTTCATCTATTCCTCCAACTCCATGGGGAGACCAACATATACCGATACCGCTACTCCCCAGACCCCTCCGCGGGTGCGTTCCGACCAGAATCTCGAGGCGAATCCAGCACTGGCGACGAGGGCCTCCTAGGAGGCCCAAACAAGCAAAGACGAGGGACAGGTAGCGGTATGGGTACCGTCGGAGGGAGGGGGACTGGATATGGGTCTGGGTGCGGGTTGTCGGACCCCAAGGGACGCTCGACGCTCCCGTTCGAGCGGGGAACACCTATCCGACAACACGCACCCATAGCCCCCTCCGTCCACCCTACGGGTATGGGTGTTGTGTGTTGTTCGTTCGTCATCTTTCTCCTCCGACTCCCCGTCCCGACAGCCCTCCTCTCCTCTCCCTACCCCTCCTGCCGCTTCTTCCATCCCCCCCCCGGCGGCCGGAGGGCTCCCGAAGGCAGCGGCGGCCTGCAGGGACAGCTTGCCGCACAGGTGCATGCCGAGCAACGGCCGGAGGGGAAAGGGCCGGGCGGCCATGCCATGGGGGGTTGCTGAAGGTGCCCCTGGCGTCACGTGCCCCCAGCTTGTCGCTCCATTTTGGGGCCCCTCGGGCCCTCCGGGCCTCGTGAGGGCGTTGCGTTGAAGGCACGTATACTGGCTCTCCGCCCGCCTCCTGAGGAGAAGGCACGAGGGACACCGGCAAGACACGTGAAAGAGGAGTGCCTAGAAAGTAGTGGAATTTGGGGTCCCAAAACCGCATAGTGACAGACTGCGGCGGGGACCTCGAAACACCTTTTGGGCCCTCGGAGGCCCCAGTCGCCAAGAAACCCTCGGCGAACGACCCGAGTCCCAAAACCGTGGGGTCACCCCGAATCCCCACCGACTCACCACACGGTGTGGTCACCACATCGTTCGGGCCCCCTCGAGACAGGTCCAAGACCAGGACAATCGGAATGGTCGGGGATCTACTGACCCGGTTCAATGCAAACACGGGTCAGTCAAACTCTGCCGGGTCCTGCAAAATCCTTCAGAATTCCAGAATCCTGTACGCTAACCTGGGTCAAACCAGCCCTGGCCCTGCAGGATCCTGCAAGATCCGGCGCCCTGACTGAAATCCCGTCTGCATGAGTTGACATCCCCGCCTCTTGAGCCCCGACCCCGAGACAAATCCAGAACCAGGACGATCGGACTGGCACAAGATGGTTACCTCCTGGATCCGGCGTTTCCTAAGGCGGTGGTTATGGACAAATCCCCGCAGCTTCGGTCAGGCGTGTCCCCTACAGGCGCATTTTGGACGGAAAATAGAAATTAGCAAAACATGCTCAGTAATAGTCACCTGACCATGTCTAAAACTTAAGCGGAGGAGGAGGAGTAGGAGGAGGAGGAGGAAGAGAAGGAGGAGGAGGGGGAAGAGGAGGGAGAGGAGGAGAGAAGGCGGAGGAGGGCGTGACTCCGTAGCCACTTTGGCTCAAGTCCGTAGAGTCTCTGGCTCAGGACCTGACCTTACTGGCGAGGGGGATTTGCGGCCCCCACAGTCCTCCACTCCTCTCTGCCAGGTCAGACGAGGTTCCTTTTGTGAGCTCCTGGCGGAGCCCAGTGCTTTCCGTTCAAGCGTTCCATGGGCAGTCTCAGCCGCGGCAGTGTCTAGCGCTGCCCGCGGAAGAACTGCGGTTTCAAAACCAATTTCTCTGTCAAGAAATATTGCTACAAATGTGGTGCTGAGCGTCCTCCCTTGCCTGGCTATCCTCCTGTGCCGCCCGCTCAAGGAGCCTGGTCCACTGGGCCGCCTCGGCCCACGGAGCCCAAAGCCAAGGCCAAGATGCTCGACGCCACTCCGCTTGCAGTCTTTGCCAAGATGTCCCAGGACGATCTCGAAACCTCCACGTCGCTTTTGGGGCCGGGTCAGCGTGCGCGTGTTCTGGCTGAGCGAGCGCTGGCTGCAGGTGACCCGAAGGCGGTTGCGACGAGGCCAAGCGCGAAGTCTTGCAGGCGGAGCAGGAGGTAGGCAAGCTTGAGAAGCCTGTCCAGAAGAAGTTCCTGGAGCTCGTTGCATTCAGGGGTAAGCTCGAGCAGCTGCAGGAGCACGAGCGCGCCTGTTCGACCAAGGCCACGGATGCGTGGGCCGGGGTCAGTGGTGGACCAACTCGTGGGCGCTGCAAGGCTGGAGGCGGCGCCGAGGTGTCTCCTGACGATCCTGGCTTCGCTTTGCTGTTGCAGTTCGAGTTCTCCGACGCGGCTCCGGCGGCCCCGCTGCGCTCTCCCATGGCTACCCGTGACAAGCTGCTGCAGCCTACCTCCGTGGATGATGGCGATGACGACGGGAGCGAGGATGACAGCGATCACATTGAAGGGGCCCCAGGACACACAAATAAATACACACAAATAAACAGATTCCCCATATTTTCCCATATTTTCTGGGTTGTTGTCTTCCCCCCCACTTCCCATATTTTCCGATATTTTCCTGGGAGTCGACGATTAATTGTGTCTGTGTGTTTCTTTCCCTCCTGAATGACGGCGATCACATGGCTGATGCACAGGAGCCGCGGCCGCTCACCGTCGAGGCTGCCGCCGAGGCCATCTTTTGAGAAGAGCAGCTTCGCCCTTTGTCTCTGGCGCTGCGCCTGCCACCCTCGCGCCCAATGCGGGGGGGGGGCGGGGGCGGCGGGGGGCGCGTCAACGCAGGGGGGGCAGCTGGCGGCCGGCGAGTCGCTGAGCAGTTTTCCTCTTTCCTTGAGCGGCTTACTTCGGATGAGGGATGGGGCTCGTTCCTTGCGTCCGAGGGTCTCTCGAGGAAGCAGCGCGAGAACGTCGTCGGTGGCCTCGACGCCGCCGCTCAGAGGAAGTTCAGATTGCGCCGTTCGACACTCCGTCTGGTCCTGCTGCTTCGGCTGCTGCTGCTGGATCGAGTATTCAGCCCCGAATAATGCAAGTTCAAGTCTTGGTCGATCATCGCGGCCAACGTCGGAGGTCAGGTCGGCCTCGACGCCTACCTCTCGGAGTCCATTTACACCCATGTTCTTTGTTGCAGGAGTCTCGCATGCAACCATCTGCCTCAGAGACCTTGGAGAGCAAGATGTGTGCTGGGGGATGGTCGGCCTCTGCGCGTGCTGCGGTTCCCACGCCGGGCAATCCCCAAGGGGGTCTGGTCACGGCATCAGTCGCGCGCGTCGGGATTGCCAGGCTGGAGAACTTTGATAGCCAGGTGGTGCCTGCTCGAGCTTCTCTTCATCATGTGGGAGGCATGGTCAGAGGCGGTTATGTTGTCGACAATATGTACTTGGTGCACTCCGTGGGCATTGGCGCGCAGAACTGGGCGATCCTGTCTAAGGTTGGAGCTCGGCTCAAGACGGCTGGGCTTCCGTTCGTGATCGGCGGAGACTGGAACTTCCCTGTCGACCACCTGCTCAAGACCTCCTTGGGTCGACGCGCTCGACGCAGCGGCCATCGCTCCCGAGCCGGGCGCGTGCAGGCCAGCCACGCGCTGCATCGTGTGTCGCCTCGCGCCAGATGGCAGGTCTGGCTAGGGCTGAAAGTAACCATAATTTGCCTATCTCTCCTCACCTCCCCGTTGGGCTTATCATTCCGCCGGTTAAGCCGCTCTGCAAAGTGATGTATGTTCAGGTCCCCGAGAAGTTCCCAACGGAACTGCCCATTCGTTGTCTCGGACCCCTCCCCCCCCCCGTTGCTGATCCCTGGGGCTTCGTCGGGCGGGGTTTGCGCGGGCCCCGAGCTGCTGGCCCAGGACAGGCGGGGCGCTTTCTCGTGGGCTGCTGAGGCTCAGTGGCTTTACTTGTTCCGGGTTTCTGGGGAGCATTGTGCCAAGTATGTGGGTGGGGATAAGCCCCTCCAGATCAGGTGGGGAACTCCGTCGGCCCCTCATGCGTCTTGGTGGCGCAAGGCCCAGAATGTGCTGGCTGACTTTGTAGGGAACTTGCATGCGCCCACAGGTTGCAGCTCGTTGCCGCTGCGCGGCGACTCTCTCGCTTTCATCGGCTGCCCGACACTGCCGAGCTCGCCGCGTGGTCGGCGGCGTTGCGGCAGGCGTGCGTCTTGCCGGTGGCGTCGGCGAGGTGCCTCGCCGACTTCGCGAGCCACGGGGCTGCGCGACGGCGTCATCTCTGCGCTCGGGCCAAGGAGCGTGAATGGGGAAGTGGGTGGACACTCATTCGCGTGGGGGGATGCCGGCCCTTCGCAAGTTCTCGCCCCTCCCCGCCCCATGGCAGCCCGCCGCCCTTTGTCACGGCACCCTTCGCCCATGTGCTTCGCTCGAGCCGATCGACGCTTTTGAAGCTGAGTGGAAGGAATGGTGGCAGGTTGGCCTTGAGCACGGGCCCTTCCAGTGGCCTGAGCTCGGGCCCACGGAGGCCAAGCTCGTGAGAGCGCTCAAGAGCTTTAAACTCTCTTCGGGCACGGGATTCGACCAGATCTCCCCTCGCTTGCTGCTGCTGCTGCCGCCTGCTGCGCTTGGGGCCCGTTGTGACATCGTGCGCCGCAGTGAGCGCAGGCGCGAGTGCCCTTCCCAGTCCATTGCAGCCCCCCCCCAGGGGCTTCCGTGTGATGGTGGCTTGGAGGGCCCTCCGAGTTCACTGGTGATATCTATACTGACGGTTCTGCTTTCGAGGCTGAGTATCCCAGCCTGGTCAGTGCTGGTTGGGGGTGCATTGTGCTTCATCAGGACCGTCGCGAAGTCGTTTCGTTTTGCTCTGGGCCGCTTCTGGATCCGCTGCAGTGTCCTAGTGCAGCAGAGCTGGTAGCAGTCATTCATGTTCTCCGCTTCGCGGCTCCGCCAGCACGTATTTTCACGGACTCGGCCTTTTGTGGCTGACGGGTTTCACGAGAGAGGACGCGAGGCCACGTGTGCGTGTGTTGCCGCCCACGCGCATCTCTGGAGGGAGTTCTGGAGGCTGGTGGGCGAGTGGGGCGGGGGGGGGTGAGATCACGAAGCTAAAGGGCCATGCGATAGTGGTGGACGCCCAGCTTGGGTGTGGCGCCGCGGCACGCCACCGTTATGGCAATCGCAAGGCCGACGAAGCCGGCAAAAGAGTGCTGCTGGCCTTGCCCGTGTGCCAGCTGAATCGGTCGCTCAGTGGAAGGGTCGGTGTAAAGTTCTACAGGTCTTGGGCTCCTGGATCGGACGTCTTGGGGGTAGTTTGGACGACCGCGGGCACCCTAAGAGGCATAACCGTGGAAAGCCGCCAGTTCCTCAGCTCATCCTGGTCCGGGACCCAGCGCCGCCGTCCGAGATCGTTTCCAGAGCTCTGGCAGCGCAGGCTAGTCTGCCTGCGGGGTCGAAGCGGCATGCCCTTGTCAAGCTCCAGCTGCAAGAAGGTCCGCTCGTGTTTGGATCCGCGCGCTGTGTTTGCTTTGCTGCGGCTCGGATTTCGAGCCTCGGTGTGCCTTGTCCTTCACAGGTCTCTGATTATGGGAGGAAGTGTCTCACCAGATTGGCGGACAAGCGTGAATTCAGGCTCGATGGGAAGGTCTATCGAGTGCTCTCGCAGGATCGGCTGTGATCTTGGCTTCGGGGCCCCCGCCGGAGCGTTACGCCCAGAGTGGGGGTCCGCCTGTAACGCTTTTGCCGTTTACCGATCGCCGCAGGGGGCGTTACACCCAAAGGTGGGGGTCTGCCTGTAACGGCCCTGGCCCCCCCGAGGTGCCCGTCCACCTCCGTCTGTGCAGGCCCTGGCTTTGCCTGCGTGCTATTTCTGGCCCCACTTCTTCGGCGCCGTGTCCAGGTCGCGTGGCCAATGGCGGTTGCAAGGTGTGCCCTTCGCCACGCGTTTCACTGATGGCTGGCGGTTGACAGACCTTGTCGCCCGCCAGGTTGTGCCCAGGAGGACGTGACGGGCGCTGCGGCCGTTCCAGAGCGTTCCGGAGCACTCTGAGAGCGTGCTGGGGCGCCTCTGGAGCGATGCATCAGGTTCTCCAGCCTTGCCCGGGAGGGGCAGGCTTCTTTTGGGATCCCCAGGCGAGGCTGTGAGGGAGGGAGGGAAGGAGCTGAGGCGGAGGGAGGCTGCGGAGAAATTTGGCGGAGGAGGGAAGCGGAGGAGGCAGGGGGAGGAGGAGGAGGGGAGAAAGGGACAACACATGAACCGGACCCAACCTGTCGTCAACTGAGAAGCTACTCGTGTACTACGAGGTGCATCGTATCCTGGCTCTGCATCAAGTCTCGCTCTGGGTCCATCGAGGGCAAGCCCAATTCACTCGCAGGAGCGCACGGGTCACAAAACGCACAGGAAGGAAGGGGAGGGCGGGGAGGAGCGGGGAAGAGGGAGGTGGAGGGCGGCGCCCCCCCCCCCCCCCCGAATGCCTCAACGTATCGGCGCCCCGCCCACTCGCCCCCCCCCTCCGAGTCGCAGGGCGGCAAGAACCGCAGGGGTGGTCAGACTCGGCCCCTCCCTTCCTCGTCTATCTCTGGGTCCCCTCCTCCTCCTCCTCCTCCTCTCTCCTCCTCCTCCTCACCCTCCTCACCTTCCTCCCTGCTCCTCCTCCCCCTCCTCTCCTCCTCTCCTCACCTCCTCGATCGCCCTCCTCCTCCACCTCCTCGATCGCCCTCCTCGATCTCCTCTCCTCTCCTCCTCTTCCCGTTAGCCTCGCGTTCTCCTCCTGCTCCGCCGCGCGTTCTTCTCCCTCCCTCCTCCTCCTCCTCCTCCGCGCGTTCTCCTCCTCCTCCTCCTCCTCCTCTTCCTCCTCCTCTCCTCCTCATTATCCTCCTCCTCCTCCTCCTCCTCCTTCGCCTCCTCCTCCTCTTCGTCCTCGTCTTCCTCTCCTCGTCCTCGTCCTCCTCCTCCTCCTCCTCCTCCTCCTCCTCCTCCTCTCCCTCCTCGCCCATTTTGGCCCGTCTCCATCCTCTTTCCCTCTCCTTCCTCACTTTTCATCCTCTTTCGCTCTTATCCTCTTACTTATTATCCTTCTCCCGTCTGAATCAAACTCCTGCTGCTGCCGCTGCTGCTTATTTCCCTTTTGCTCCATATCTTCTCTTTCTACATCTCATTCCTCGTCAGTTTCCGCCATGTCCTCCACCTCTTCTTCCTCCTCCTCCTCCTTCTCCTCCTCCTCCTCTTGCTCCTTCTCCCGTCCTGCCCTCTCATCAGTAGTATCCTCCTCCTCCGTCCACCACCTCCCTGCTCATCCTTCTCCTCGTCCTCCTCATATATTGTCCTCCTTCCCTCCCTGGTCCTCCTTTTGCTCTTGAGTATCCTCCTCCTCCTCCTCCCCCTCCTGCCTGCCTTCCCCTATGCCTCCTTCTCCCCCCTTGTTCCTCCCTGCCCGTCCTTCTCCTCCGTCTTCTCCGTCTTCTCCTCCTCCACCTCCTCCACCTCCTCCACCTCCTCCACCTCCTCCACCTCCAGCTTTACATCCATCATGTCCCGCCCCGCCCCTCCTGCTCCTCCTGCTGCTCCTGCTCCCGCTCCTGCCGCTGTTCGTGTGCTTGCACCAGCACAAATCGACCGTGGTGTCGGGCGACTTCGCCTGTGCGCGTGTTTGTGATCGCAGGTGGGGACCTGGGCTGGACTCACACTCGGCACGCTTGATCACGCTCGCCACGCGCTAACATGTTGATCTATTGCGTTTGTCTCCTGCCCCGGTTGCTGTCCTTGCCGAGAGGACTGCGAGGGAGATGTAGGATGTTCGTTATCTGGAGGCTCGTGCTGGATCCAGTTCTTGGTGTCAGCCCGTTTTCTGGCAGCCTCTGGAGTTTCTCTTGGGCCGCAAGACGGCATCGTGGGATCAACCGAAAGAGAATTCGTTGCGAGCCGCTGCCTCGGGCACCCACTGGCCTCAGGAGAGGCTGTATAGGCACGGCTTCGCCACCTCTCATGACTGCCGTCTGGGGGGGCATGCCACAATCTTCCATCGGCGCTTCGTGTGTGTAAGCATGGCAAGAGGACCGCAAACACTCTCGCGGATTAGGGGTTTGCGGCAGCTCGTCTTGTTCAATCTTTGGGGGATGCTGGCGAGTTCTCTGCCAGGGGCGTCTTCCCATCACCTCGTGAGCTGATTCCGCCACCCCTCCTTTCCGCGCAGTGTGAAGGTTTTTGGATCCATAGGCCCATAGGTACCCCCAGACGGTATGCTCTCAAAGAGAAACCAAAAGGTACCGATTCCGCTACTCCCCGGACTGGGTGTGTTCTGGCCAGGATCTCGAGGCGAATCCAGCGGTGGCGACGAGGGCCGCCAAGGAGGCCCAAAAAAGGGAAAACCGGCGGGGGCAGAGGTATGGGTACCCTTTTTCCAAATCTGACTCTCGGGTAAGACATTCACCGATGGATCCGCGCTGCATCCCTCGGAGCAGATGTTTCGTCGCGCGGGCGGGTCCGTGGTCAGGACGACTCTGGAACCATGCTCGCGGCGGCCTCTGCGCCAGTGCCCCAGGACTTGCAGACCGCTACACGCCAGTCGGAAGAAGTGGGTAAAACCATGAGGTAGGAAGGCGGCTGAAGTAGATTGGGTTCGGGCCCTCCCAGAGAATCACCACACACACACAACACAAGCACATCGCTTCTCGAAGCAGGGAGGCGCTTGAAGCAGACTGGGATCTGGGCATCCCGAAATACCTACCCTCAACGACCACACGTCTAGTGGCCCGGTCACGTTGCATCCGGGGCTGGAGGGGTTGGCACCGGACCGCGCCGCCACGGTCGACTGCGACAGGTCTCGGCCCCGAGCGGCGGCCTCTCGGACCCTCCCGGGCCCCAAAGCGGGTCAAAGGGGTCCACACCTCTCGTGAGGAGGGCTCGGTAGCGCACACGGTGGAGGCCAGTCCACAGGAAACCCAGCCCTGGGGCCCCAGGACGCCCCGTGATCTTCGGCGTGGGAACGTCGCGCCCTCCATCGCAAAATCACCGAAGCCCAAGAAGCCCCGGGCACCCTGGAGGCAAGCAGGGGGGCTCTTGGCACGGGTCTCCAGCGTAAGACTCGTGCTCACCCGAGCGAGGTGGACGTGGAGCGGGGTCTGGCTACCAGGAGAGCGAATGGCGTCGCGGATGCCTTGGCCCAGCGCGGCGCGGGCCGGCACCCGTGTGCGGAGCGTGCGGGGGGGAGCAGAGCCGCGGCCTCAGGTTGTCGTGTCGTGAGGTGGGCCACAGGGTCGGGCGTCAGGGCGTCCCAACGAAGGAGCGGGTCTCCGAGGGGCTTCCCGAGGTGGCCCCCCAGGGACTCGCTCTGCGCGGCCCCGAAGGCCGCCCGTGTCGCCCACGCTGTCCCTCCGTTTCGGAGGTGTGCTCTCGGAAGCAGCCCAGGGCACCCGGGACCCCGAGCTCGGACAACTCTGTCAGTTGACGGCCCACTGCCTCCGCGTGTGCAGGGTCTTCGACGCCGACGGCGCGTCGGTGCTCGCGGGGCCTCGCTTGACTTGCTGCATTTCCTGTGGAGCCTTCGCCCGGGGAGCTGTCCGAGGTGGGGCCACGCCGTGTGCGCCAAAAAGCGGCGGGCCGGGGCCTTCGCCAGCAGAAGAGGCGCACCCAGCAGCGCCGCGTCCCCAGGTGGCTCTCCAGGCACGAGCGCTGGAGCTTGGGCGAGCCCGAGCTGCCCGTTCCCTCGGACCCGACGTCGCTCGCCTCTTCTGCCCTCTCTTCCCATCCTCGGCCCCCCGCCCCGTCGGCGGAGAGGGCCGCCTTCCGCCCAGGGCCGCCATATAGACGCCGTCGTGGACGCCAGGTCGGCTGCTCGCGGCCGGGTGCGGCGTCGACGACTGCTCCAGCGGGCGCTGGAGTGCGGAGGCCCGAGCCCTCCCCACGGGCGAGGGGGCGGGGCCCCCCGCGGGCTCGCTTTGTTATTGTTCTTGTTATCTCTGCGGCTGACATGCCAGGACGTCTTCGGCGTGCCTCCTCATTAGCTTCTCTTGGCTCCTGCCTCCTGCCTCCTGCCTCCTCCTGCCTCCTGCCTCCTGCACCTGCCTCCTCCTCCTCCTGCCTCCTCCACCTCCTCCTCCTCCTTCAGCTCCTGCCGCCTCCTCCTCCTCCTCCTCCTGCCTCCCTCCTCCCTCCTCCTCCTCTGGCCGGCCCCTGCGCCCCTGGCCGCCCCTGCGCATGCGGCCGGCCGGGCGGTCTGCTCCACCAGCCGCCCGAGGTCGGCGACGAAGGTCGGGGCCAGCACGTCCTGCGAGGGCAACCGACCGATCGGCGCGGGCCCGAGAGGGCCCCCAAGGCTAGGAGGAGAAGAGGCGGCATAAACTGTTAAACGTGTGGTGCTCCGCGCGGATTTCTTGGGTCTGCGCCGGACCCCCCTCCCTGGCGCGCGGAGCGCGCCAGGGGCGGCGCCAGAGGCGCCGCTGGGTGGGGCCTAGCGCGGATCCAAGAAATCCGCGCGGAGCGCCAAAAGTCGCCAAAAAGTTTATGTTTACAGCGTTTTTCCTTCTTCGAAAGACGGCTGGAGGTGGGCCCGAGATGGCTCCAAGACGGCCCAAGAGACCTCCAGACGGCCCACATTCCAACAGCTTGGCCAGACGCTGCCCCATCGTGTGGTCACAGGGGTGCTTCCAGAAAGCAGGAGGGTGGGCGGGGGGCTCGCTCTAGGTGCACGAGGCTGCGCAGCAATTCACGTTCACTCGTTTTGCGTTGTAGGCCACGCCCCGACGTCCATCTGTGCGTAGCTCGCGCAGCCATCCGCGCCACTCTCCACGCCGACGGTGCAGTGGGGCAGGAACCGCGGATCCAACTTGTCCACGGCCGACACAACCACACCAGGGTACCTCGCGGGAGGTACCCGGAGGCCTCCCTGGACTTCGGGCGCACTGATTTGTCCAACCCCATGCCTCTTTTGGCCTCTGGAGTCCGGGGTTCTACTCGCACACCACCTGGGAGGCCTCGATACTCGATCTTGCGAAGGATGCTGACGAAAACCGGAAGCTATCGGAGGTCCGCGTCGATTCCTTCTCGGATCGGCGACGGACCCCCCTCCCCGGCGCGCGCAGTGCGCCAGGGGCGGCGCCAGAGGCGCCGCCAGGGGGGCTCCTACGCCGACCCTTGAGATCCTCGCGGACCGTCGCCAGTTTTGTCCTATGACGTCTTTCGATCTTGGGCCCCTGCTCCAACAAGGGAGATGTGTCGACGCCTATCCCAGGCTTCATGGGGCTTCCGACTGGACCCGAAATTTGGGGCCCAACCCTGGGATCTACGATTGGGGGCGTCCGTCCTCGATCGGGGTGCGTCCGAATACAGCAGGACCTGGGCCTGAAGAACATCCCCCTCCGTCGGCCAAAACACACAGACCGTCCAAAGGGTACCCTCCCCAGGATGCACGAGAGCATACCACAAGCACGAAAAACATCAGGGCACCCTCCCCAAACCGACCCCTGAGCGGCTTCGTTTTTCGTTGACAAGTTGGGGGGGGCGAGAAAAAACGCCCGCGATCGCAGGCGATGTTTCTCCTCCAATCCCCGAGCTCCGCCCGAGAAGTTTGGCCCCTCAGCAAGGGGGGGCACCCTGGGGTACACCCCGAGGGGGGGCTGTTCAGACGCGCACCTGTCGAGAGTGACCCCCCCCCATCCGATGCCCCAAGGCTGGGCTCCACACGCGGGGAACGAAGGATGCCATAGACACAAAACCTGGGAGGTCCGCGAGGATGTCTCGGATCGGCGCTAGACCCCCCTCCCTGCCGCGCGAAGCGCGCCAGGGGCGGCGCCGCAGGCGGCGCCGCCAGGGGGGTCCAGCGCGGATCCGAGAAATCCGCGCGGACCTCCGAGTTTTTGTGTTTATGCTATCCTTCGTTCCCCTCCAGATTCCTGGTCCAGTCGAGACCCCACGAAGCCTGGGACACGGATCGACACGCCCCCCCTCGCGTGCTCCACCCCGGCGGCACCGCAGCGCCGCGAGGACGGCCGTGATGGACCTGCCGCAGCAGAGGTCGACGATGTGCCAGCCGCCGCCGACGGCCGGCGCCGTGCGCTCCAGCGCCTCGAGCACGGCCATGGACTCGGACACCTCCTGGGGAGGAGCAGGCATCGGGTAGAGGATCGGCTACATAATTGGTTTGCCCCCCAAATCGACTTCCTCGTCGAATCCACAAAAAAAGACGTAACACCTCTCACGTGCTCGACGACAACAACGAAACTCTGGGTAAATCAACGCTGTACTCAGTCGGCCCCCTACTCAACAAAAAGGCGGCATGAACATCACGTGAGGGGGCCGAGCTCCAGGCCTCTCAGATGAGCGACGAAAAGTAACGGGTCTTACGCGAGATGGCATAACGACTTTACGCGGCGGCTTACGCGGGCCGCCAGCGCGGAACGCCACATTGGAGACGAGGGCGCTTACGAGCGCCCTCGCGCGGGGAGCTTACGCGCCAATGTCGACGAAGACGAAACCTATTCTTGGCGTCGCTCACGTGGGGGGGCCGAACCCTAGGCCTCCAAAATGGGGTCCGAGTAGAGGGAGTCGGAAGGTCGCGCTACATCGCCGATGCATCGGCGATGCGGCTCGATATGGAGCCTACCTTTCTCCACGCCGGCGTCGCCGCGGAAGCGCAAACGTCCCCGATGCATCGCCGATGCATCACCGATACATCGGGGATGCGGCGCGATCCTCCGACCAAATCTGGGACGCTCAGATCAGTGTCCCCAAGTTCGTTGCCGACGCGGCGCTCCGTCTGGCGGACTCCGCTCGCCGCGTCGCTGCCGTGGCGGCCCTCGCCCGCGACCCACCCCGCGACCCACCCCGCGGCCCACCCCGCGGCCCACCCCGCGACCCACCCCACGACCCACCCCGCGACCCACTTGCGCCCGCCTGCCAAATCTCTCCCCCGCACCCGCGGGGTGATGCGGGATCTCTCGGCGGTCCGCGCGGAGCTCTGGGATTTGGGCGTTGCGTAATGGGGGGGTCATAAATGGGGGGGCGGCGAGTGTGGCCCGAAAAGGTACCCAAACGGTACCTAAACGAGCCCCCTGGGGCTCTGGAGGGGCCCGAAAGGGGCACGAAAGGGGACCTTTTCTGACCCCCCCATTTGTGACCCCCCCATTACGCAACGCCCAAGGGATCGGCAGGAACGGCACGCCGGGAGCGACAGCGGGGGCGCCTGTACAGCGCGGGGGCCCGGGCGCGGCCCCGAGAACTCCGCGCCGAGCCGAAGGCACTTGCAGCCGTCATGCGACCATCGGGAGCGCACAAGAATCAGGGGGAAAAGAAACACACAGACACAATTAATCGTCGATTCCCAGGACAATGTGCAAAAATATGGGAAGTGGGGGGGAAGACAAAAACCCAGAAAGTATGGGAAAATAGGGGGAATATTTTTATTTGTGTGTATTTATTTGTGTGTCCTAGTTTCCCTTTAAAGAAGGAACGGATGGGGCTGTCCTGGCCACGGCGGGCCTCAGGACACGAGTCTGAGGACGAGCCCGAAAACTCGAGAGCCCCCTGCTGAGCCCAGAGTGGTCCCGATTTCGGTGTCTTGGCCGGTATGCTTGCGCAGCTTCTGGCTGTTCGATCCTTGCGGACCCTGCGGGTGTCGTTGATCTGGTGGCACCGCGCCTCGAGGAGCAGGCGGTGCCTGTCCTGGGAGAAGAAGCGCTGCAGCAGCGGGTTGTCCTCTCTTGATCAAGGGGGGACGTCAGGGGGGGGGCTGACATCAGGTCGGGCGTGTCCCCCTACAGGCAGATTTTTGACGACAAATCAAAAATACCACCTGAACAATAATACAACAAATGCTCCAGCATCTCCCAAACATCGCCCCCAGACCAGGATTTCTGCTATTCTTGAATATTCCTCCTGTAGAGGGACAGGCCCGACTTGAGGCCAACATGGCACCGTGGATTGAACAGGGACCGACCGTCCTGGCATTCCTATAGTCATACCACGAAATTTTCTTAGAACCCAGAAGTGCTCTAAGAACAAAAACAATGTTCTTAGAACATCGACCCGATGTGTTCAAACAAGACAATCTCGGCCAGAAATGTTCTAAGAACATCTCGTGGGAACCACAGGAGGCTCTCAGAACATTGCTTGGTGGGGCCATAGGCGAGCCAGGACGCGTCGCCGCTGCTTGAGTGGATCTTGAGCGAGCAACGACATGTGTACATGTACGCCCTCCGCGGTATTGCGTGCACGAACCTCCGCGTTCAAACGCAATTCGGCGGAAACAAACCGCGTACATGTACATATGTTGTTGCCCTCTGAGATCTGGCACGTGGGCACCGGAGCCACGGATCGGGGCAGGCCCCCCCCCCGAGCTTGCCGCCGCGGCCGCCTGCCTGGGCGCTGGAGAGAGGAGGAGGAGGAGGAGGAGGAGGAGGAGGAGGAGGAGGAGGAGGAGGAGGAGGAGGAGGAGGAGGAGGAGGAGGAGGAGGAGGAGGCAGCGGGGCCCGCTGCTCACCCGCGCGCCTCCGCGCGCGCGCCGGCGCTCAGCCCCGACCGGGCGGCCCCGGGGCCCGGGAGGCCGAGCTCGAAGAGAGACGCCCGGCCCCCTCGCCCCGCGGGCGCAGGGGCTCCCACGATGGCGCGAAGCTTCTCGCGCCACCGCGCCTCGCGGTCCTCGTTCCCTCTCCCCCTCCTCCTCGTCCTCCTCCTCCTCCTCCTCCTCCTCCTCCCTCCTCATTCTCCTCCTCCTCCTGCTCCTCCTCCTCCTCCTCATTCTCCTCCTCCTCCTGCTCCTCCTCCTGCTCCTCCTCCTCTCCCCCTCCTCCTCGTCCTCCTTTTCTTCTTTTGGGGGGGGGGCGGCGGCCCGAGCCCGACCCCGGGCACCATCCAGGCCGGGCCCGACGCCGGAGGGCACCAGCAGCAGACACCCCCAGCGATGCTGGCCAGAGCCATCCTGGGCCGAGGCAGCGGCGCCTTGCGACCCTCGGACAACGCGGCCAAGAAAGCCTCGGACGGACTCATTCCCGACCATCCTGTGGTGCTGGGTCCTCGTCGTGAACCCGCCGCACCGCGCTCCACGTCCCTCTCCTCCTCCTCCGCCTCCTCCTCCTCATGTCGGCACCCCTCGCTGGCGCCGACGTGTGGCGCACGCGCCCCCAATTCGGTTCACCCCTCGCATGGCTTGCGACCCCTTAGGAAGCCCCGCATATGGTCTCAGCTCGGCGGCGAGCGAGGGGGGGAAGTAAGAAAAGGCGGGCCTCCTCAGAAGGCTCGGAAGTCCCCCAGCATTCTGAGAAGTCTTCGAAGCCTTCCCCGCAAACACGGAAAAGCTTTCAGAAGGCCCAGAGGGCCTCTGAGCAGTCCCGCCGCTTCCTGAGAAGGCCTTCTCCTTCTCAGTAAACCCCTCGCTCGCCGCCGAAACATGTGGCGGCGGCGCACTCCTGTCAGCAAGCCCCATCACACCAGTCGTGCCCCATACGGAGCTTCATGTACGGTCCAAAGGGTCGCCGACGCAGGACGCCGCCGCGCCCGTCTCGGCACACCTCGCACGAGGACCGTGCTCCTCAGGGAACTTCGCCCGCGGCCCCAACGGCAGGGCCCACATGGCGGCGCCGCCCATTTCGGCACACCCCCCACGAGGACCGTGGCCCCGCATGGAGCTCACCCTGCGACCCCCAACGGGACAACCCTGACGCGGATCGTGGTCTCATATGAAGGGGCCCCAGGACACACAAAGAAATACACACAAATAAAGTATCCCCCATATTTTCCCATATTTTCTGGGTTTTTGTCTTCCCTACCACTTCCCATATTTTTGCATATTTTCCTGGGAGTCGGCGATTAATTGTGTCTGTGTGTTTCTTTCCCTCCTGATCATAGACAGCTAAGCTCCACCTGCGCCCCCGGTGGGACGGTCCGTCAGCCCACCCCTCGCGAGGATCGGCCCCACGTGCGGCCCCCAGCGGGGGGGGTCCGCAGGCGGAGCCCTCCCCGGACTCCCCCATCGGGGACCTCGCCGGGCCCCCACCCGGCGGTGGAACGAGGACGAGCGAGGACGGACTGGGGAGCGAGCGCGCGACGCAAAGAGAGTCAGCGGGAGGCATGCAGAGGATAACGGAGACTAGGGAGAAGGAGGAGGGCCGGAAGAATCGAGGGGAGAGGAGGCCACAGAGCCACGAAGATCGGGCCGGGCGAAAGGGGGGGATAGCAGGGGGAGGGTTTGAGAATCAGCTCACGTAGCTGATGTTCGCGGCGCCTCCCGGCGCCGGAGGCGGCTATGTATCTAGGAATGGGCCCCTCGGTGGGGCCGAAACCAGCTGAATGCAGCAAATGTCGTAACCCTCCCTTTCCCGATCCTCCCTTTCGTCCGGCCCGAGAAGATCACCGAATCCGGAACCCCTCGGATCGGCGGCACTGGCCCGAGGCCATTACAAGAACTTTTCCCTGTCGCACCCCGAACCCAGTTTTCATTCAGGGCGGGCCGGGCGTTTTGCTCGAGACCTCCTCACCACTTATGACTCTGAAGCTGAAAAGTTGGCAACCACTTCACAGATGCAGGGCGGGTCGGTCTCAAAATGTGGCCCTCGCCTTAGGCGCCGCGCACACTTTCGAGCTTCACGGATTGGGGATCGCCCGTTTTCCGAGTGTGGCGCTCTGCCGCGCACATTCGTTCTGGACATCTGCACGAGCTTCAAGGATTGAGGAGCACCCGTTTTCAAAATGTGGCTCTCGCGTCAGCGCCGCGCACATATTTGTTCTAAAAAATTCAAGATATTCACGGATCGAGGGCGGTTCCCTTTCGAAATGTGGCTCGCGCCTTAGCGCCGCGCACATTCGTGAATCAAATTTGCCAGGGAGTTTCACGCATTCCCACGATCAACGTAGCAGAAATTGTCTTGCGGGCGCAACAGTTACGTTGATTCGCGGCGTTGAAATGCCAAGAATGGCGTTCTGGCACGATCCAAGATCGTCAAGACGCAACAATCAGGTTGATCCGTGGCGTTGGAATCCCGAGAACAATGTTTTGGCACGCTTCTGGGTCTTTAAACGGTTGTCTTCCAACGAGGCAGATCCCTCAATAGAAATGAACCGTTACAGGTGCCTATGAAGAGGTAGCTTGGAGGGAGGGCGTATTCCAACATCGTTGATATCTCTTGGGTTTACACTGGTCTTCCTCCTCCTCATCCTCCACCTCCTCCTCCTCCTCCTCTTCCTCCTCCTCCTCCCCTCGTCGTCGTCGTCGTCGTCGTCGCGGCGGAGATTATTGTCCCTCTATTGTTGGGCATTATCACGATCCTGTTTGGCTGCACGCCCGTGTGAATGAAGATCGCAGGCGAGAAAGGGAGGGAAACTCGGGGATGTACGCACGGGGGGAGCTATTCGGACGTACCCCCATCGAAGGACGCCTCTCCGTCTTACATCCCCAACTTTGGCGCCGAACGGTTTGGTCCATGGAAAACGTCACAAAACCAAGACCGCTGTTCAAAGAAACAAGAAGCCGTCGGATCCCGCATGGCGGCGCCGCCGCTTCCGGCGCACCCTTCGCATGATCTGGCACCATGGGAAGCTCCACCTAAAGCCCCGATGACAGGGACCGCGTGGCAATGCCACCCGTTCTGGCACACCCCTGACGAGGATCCTTGCCTCAAAGGAAGCTCCACCTACGGCCCCCGTGGAACGGTCCGTCAGCACAGCTCTCACGAGGATCATGGCCACAGATGGAGCTCCACATACGGCCTCAGTAGGAGGGTCCGCACGACAACGTTGTCGATTCTGGCGTACCCTTCGCACGCTTCGTGGCACCATAGGGAGTTCCTTCTACGGACACGGAGGGAGGCTCCACGTGGCGGCGCGAGGCGAAAGCGAAGAGATGGGACAGACGTTACCAGGACAATGCAACATCGCAACAAATCACCGCCGAATCCCTGGACCCCATCTGTCTGCGCCGCCTGTCGAGCCGGATCGATATGCGAGGGTCCCAGGGCCCGGAACCGGGCGAACACGCGCGTTGTGAAAACAATGCGACGCCAAGATCAGGGCTTTCGGGTCATTGCTTGGTCCTCTGGCAGACGTTCAAGACGATGCTGGCACAACCAGGACGCCCTCAGCGAGGCGCACCTGCTGGGAAGCATCCTTAGGCGAGAAAACCTACAGGACGCGTCCCGAGGCGAGAAAATCTACAGGCAACCGCGCGCGCCGTGAAACATTATCCTGGCGAAGGACCCGGCCAAATGCAGCTGCGAATATCTCAGCTGTGACTGCCCGTCTTTGGAGGAGCTCCCCATGGGGCCACGGAGCGTGTGAGGGGTGTGCCGAATCGGGTGCGGGGCCGCCGTGCGGACCTTGCCGCTGGGGCCGGGGCCTTCGATGGAGCTCCCTTCGGGGCCACGTGAAGTGCGAGTGAGGGGTGCGCCAAATCGGCTGCGGGGCCGCCATGCGGACCCTGCCGCTGGGGCCTTCGGTGGAGCTCCCCATGGGGCCACGGAGCGTCTGAGGGGCGTGCCACCATGGGCATGCGGAGGGCAGGGGCAAGGGTGGGAGGAGGGAGGAGGGGGGGGAGTAGCGAGAACGCGGGGCACTGTCTCCTCGAGACGAGGAGGAGGAAGAGGAGGAGGAGAAGAGGAGCAGGAGGAGGAGGAGGAGGAGGAGGAAGAGGAGGAGGAGCAGGAGGAGGAGGAGGAGGAGGAGGAGGAGGAGGAGGAGGAGGAGGAGGAAGGGGAGGAGGAAGAGGAGGAGGAGGAGCAGGAGGAGGAAGAGGAGGACACAACACCACAGGATGGTGAGGAAGAACAGCGCCAGGTTCCAAAGGGGGGCTCCTCTGTGCCCCGGGACGCGCGCTCCCAGAAGAACGCCAGCAGCGGCCGCCGCCGCACCACGTCGCCGCAGGCCGGGCAGCGGACCGCGGCCGTGCGCTGGACCTCCGCGGCCTCGAGGGCGCGCAGGGCCGCGACCACCTCTCGGGCCGCCGCCGCCCCAGGCCTCCGCCGCCAGGCCTCCCCGCCCACGCGGGAAGGCCCCCCAGATACGGCGGCGCGCACAAGAGGGGGGTATGGGGGGAGGGGAACTGGGACACACAAATAAATACACACAAATAAAAATATTCCCCATATTTTCCCATATTTTCTGGGTTTTTGTCTTCCCCACCACTTCCCATATTTTTGCATATTTTCTGGGAAATCGACGATTAATTGTGTCTGTGTGTTTCTTTCCCTCCTGAGTATGGGGGGAGGGGGGGAGGCTTCTTGAAAAGAGGCTGCTCCTCAGAGAGCGCCGGCCCTGCACCTGAAGACGCGGCCCGCGCCTTCTGAGAAGCAGTGGGGCGCTTGTGAGAAGCCTTCCCCCCTCCCCCATACCGCCTCCGCGTGGCTGACAGTTGGGGTCGGGGGATCGCGCAGCATCGCCGATGTGTCGCCGATGCATCGGCGATGTGTCGGCGATGCATAGGCGCCGTCGGCGCGGAGAAAGTCAACCTCCACATCGAGCCGCATCGCCGATGTATCGGCAATGCGGCGCAATCCTCTGACCCCATCTAGTCCGACCCCATCTACTCCGACACCCTGCCCTGCCCTCCCGTCTCTGCTCCGTCCCCCCGCTCCCCGTGCGACGACGGCCCCCCGACAACAGCCTCTCGTCGTAGAGAGAAATCACGACGGCGGGTCCGGGGCAAACCTCGGCATCTGAAACCCTCGCCCAGTCCATCCAGAGGCTGTCGACAAAACAACTGCGGATGAAAATCCCGTCCTGGGCGACTGTCGGCGGCGAGCCCGGGGGGGAAGCGAAAAGGGGCAGGCCTTCTCAGAAGGCTCGGAAGTCCCTAGACCTTCTGAGAAGTCTTCTAAGCCTTGCCAGAAGCAACAAAAAGAACCTCTCAGAAGGCCCAGAGGGCTTCCTGAGAACTCCCGCCGCCTTCCGAGAAGGCCGTCTCCTTCTCACTTCCGCCATCGCTCGCCATATTTGGCAAAGACCTCCAGGAGTCCACGCTGTGAACCAGTCACGACGACGTCATTCTGGGCCCGCCGCGTACAGTCATCGGCCTGACCGAAGGAACGATGAATAAGGAACGAAGCCCTTCAAAATAATAACGCATAAGTAACGATGATTAATACGTGACGCATGACGAGCGATAAATAATGCCTGCAAGCCTAAGGAACGACCGAGCCCCTTTTGAAAAGTTAAGTGTTCCTGCCGGCGCGATGCGGCGCTCGTGCCGTGCCAGTGTGGCCGAGGCCGTGGGTTACTTCGGCCCCAAGTGGGGGAGGGGCAGTGCTGGGGGGCCGAATCTCTTGCCAGGCAGGCCTGGACGAGGAGGGAGGGAAGAGGGGCACGACTCATGTTGCTCCCATCGTACTTAAGGACCACATCCCACAAATAATTCCGACAACCCCAAAAAAATCGAAACAGTGTCGAACGAGTATCGCCTCCCAGGGCCCAAGACGTGAAAACCCTCCAGTTTCGGTACTTTCCCGGTGCACGAAATTCTTTCTAGTGATCAAGGCTGAAGTAGGTTGGAATATCACAAGCTATGACCAAACGCCCCGCCGCAGCCCATCTCCCCCTCCCTCGACCCCTCACCCACCCCGCTGCCTCCCCCTCCTCCGCCCTCCCTGTCCCCATGACCCCTCCCCCCTGCGACCACCGCGTGCCCCCTTCGCCACCACCCCGACTCGACGATGGCGTTGGTGACATCCTGACGTTGCCTGGCTCCCTTCCACCCTCCTCCTCCTCCTCCTCCTCCTCCTCCTCCTCCTCCTCCTCCTCCTCCGCCTCCGCCTCCTCCTCCTCCTCCTCCTCCTCCTCCGCCTCCGCCTCCTCCTCCTCCTCCTCCTCCTCCTCCTCCTCCTCCTCCTCTTCCTCCCCATGCTCCCGCCCATGCTCTCCCGACCTCCTCCTCGCCCAGTGCTGGAGTCCCCGGAGAGCGCCCCACCGCCGAGACTGCCCTGTGCGGGCCCGCTCGATCCAGACCGTCTCGGAAGGCCCCCAGACTGCGCCCGGCCGCTGCGGCGAGAACGCCCAGCGGCCTCTGGGAGAAGAGCACCGACGTCGAGGGGGTGAGGAGGAGGAGGAGGAGGAGGAGGAGGAGGAGGGAGAAAACGGCATGAACATACGTTCGAAGCGTGCGCTAAGGACGGGCGGTGAGGACGCAAGACCCTTGGAGGCCGAAGTCGGGACTCTTTTGGCGGCGGGCGACCAGTGAAGACGGCGAAGGGCGGGCCGCAGAGGCAACAAGGGCACCCTGGATGAAGGCGCGCGTCCTTGCTCTGCGCGTTGACTGTACACTGTCGGACGTCCGCGCGGATGCTCGGATCTGCGCTGGAGTCCCCTGGCGACGCCTCCGGCGCCGTCACTGGCGCGCTCCGCCCGCCAGAAAGGGAGGCCCAGCGCCGATCGCGGACCTTCGAAAGTCTATGGTCAAATTTCCGCCGTTGTGATGACGGACCATCAGAGGTGTGGGGTGCGAACACGCCTCGCCCCCCACGGAAACTCCGTCTCGTTCTGCTGCCATCTCGGTCTCGCCAAGTGGCACGGTACCCCAGAGAGCTCTCGACAAGCTCGGCTGGCAAGACACATCCCAACCAACGAGGCGTACTCCCTCCTGGGCCGTGCGCGCCCCCCACACCTCAGGCACTAATTGTCCTGTATGTATGTGTGTATATACATATATATATATATGTATGTATATACATGTATATATATATATATATATATATATGCGCCGTCACGTTCAGACGACATTTGCCAACCCCGAGAATCGGAACGTCGGATCGTATCGGAACGTGCGTCGGATCGGGCTGCGTCGGCACGGATCGGCCGCACCAAGATGCACAACAGCGCGCACAAAAGCATCGGGACGCACCGGGCCGTCGAATTCGGGAGCGGCCAAGGGGGGGTGTCCAGGAGGGGAGGTGCAGATCATGACCGGCGGCATCGGCGCGGCCCAGCGGGGGGACCAGGGACGTAATGAAATAAGAAGAGGCGCCATGAAATCTGGGGAAATATCATGGCCCCCGTCATGATATCCACCCCCCCCCCTAGTCCTCACCCCCCTGTTTGCCGCCCCCGACGAATCATCGGAATCGCATCGGGCTGGGCCGCCCGAGCGTGGACAGCGCATCGGATCCGTCGGCTCGAACTTGAACCCTGCGCTCGGGGCGCCTCTCGCGTCCCGCGGCAGGAGAAGGCCGCTCGTGCCCTCCTGAGGGCATGGACGAGGAGGAGGGGGGCGAGGAGGAGGGGGGGGAGGAAGAGGGGGAAGGGAGGAGAAGGGGGGGGGGAGGAGAAGGAGAAGGAGGGGAGGGGGGGGAAAGGGAGGAGGGGGCGGGGGAGCCGGAGGAGGATCACGAGGATGAGGAGGAGGAGCACACAGCTGCCATCCTGCCCTGCCGGCGGCCGCTCGTGCCCTCCCGAGGCCGCCGATGGCCCTCGAGGGTTCCGACCGATGGGCTCCGAAGGCCTCCGACGGCCCTCCGACGGCCCGCCGGCGGGCCCGCCTGCGGCCCCCTGGCTGCGCTCGCGGAGGGGGAGGGGGGGGGAGGCGGAGGGGGCGAGGGGAGGAGGAGCGGGAGGCAGAGGAGGCGGAGGAGGAGGGAAGAGGAGGAGGCGGAGGCGGAAGGGGCGGAGGAGGAGGCGGCGGAAGAGGGAAAAGAGGAGGCGGGGGAGGCGGAAGGGGGAAGGGGAGGCGGAGGAGGCGGAAGAGAGGAGGCTTCGTGATTCGCCATTTTGGCCCACCCTTCTGTGCCAAAAGCCCGCGGCTATGTGCCAAACCTAGGGGACCAGGCTTCCTTCTGGCAGCCTCATTATCCCCACTTCAACTCGCCAACCTCACTACAACCCCCTCTTGTGGCGGCGGGACTGTGTGTTTTTTTTCGGGGGGGGCGAGCAAAGGAACCCGCCACTGGCCCACACGGTCAACTTCGCCGCGAACCACGAACTTACCATGCGTCTGCTGCATGCACGCTCTGGCAATCAAGCCTCGCCCATCCTCCACCCCACTACCGTTACTCCTATCCGGTCATGCGCCCATGCAGCAACCGCAACAGCAGCTGCGACCAAGGGTCGTCTGCCACAGCTGGTGGAGGGCGGGGGATTTTGTTTCGGGGAACACAACACCTCGGCTTACGTCGTGCGTGTCCCCCTGCAGGGGGATTTTGGACGAACTACAACAATGAGTCAAACCACATTCAACAAATACCCAAAAGTATTAAAAACATAGTCCCCAGACTATTGTTGTACTACTTTTGAATACTCCTCTTGTGGAGGGACAGGGTCCTGCTCCTGCTCCTGCTCGGCGGGTGGGCCCTGCTCCTGCCGGGCGGGGCAGGGCCCCGGTCGTGGGGCCGGGGGGTCCTCCGGGCGCGGGAGGCGCCCGGGCTCCCGCCGTCGGCCTCCGGGACACCGGTGGGTGAAGGGGCCCCAGGACACACAAAGAAATCCACACACATCAAATGATTCCCTTTATACTTTCCCATATTTTCTAGGTTTTTGTCTTCCGCCCCACTTCCCATATTTTCCAATATTTTCTGGGGAATCGAATAATTATTATTCATTGTGTCAGTGTGTTTTTTTCCTTCCTGAGTGGGGGGCCTCCTGCGGGGCCAGAACAACAGCGTCGAGGTGGTCAAACGCCTCGCCGGTTGAGCCGGCGAGGGTGTGCAGGATGCAGCCGTTCGCTCATGTCCAGAGTTTTGGCTTGGCGCTGGGTGTGGCGCATCAGCTCCAGCGTGACCAGAGAGGCTGATCGCGCCCCTTGACGTCTGTCTGGGGTGTTCTGCAGACCTGACACCCAGCCCTACTCAAAGACACCTGCTGCAAGCGGCACCTCAAAAGGGCCCCGCGGAAGAATCTCCGCAGCTGTACACTCCCACCTCAGCCCTCGCGCGCTTCATGCCTCCTGTCTTTTGCACCTCCAGCCGCTCTGGAGCTGCGAGCCGCCATGCGAGAGAGGGCGGCCACGGCCAGCAGTCTAGCCGCCGGGGCTACTGCAAGTGTTGCACGCAGTCAACAGAGGGCACCTGAACAGGGAGGGACCCTTGGCACCCTCCAGGGTGGGGGCCCAAGAAGGCCACGCGACCCAAAGGAGCCACCTCTCCCACCTCTTCGTTACGTTACAAGGAATTGATGTTATGGATGTCTCTCCTCTTTCCCTTCCTCTTTCCTGTCTGTCGAACTTCGTTCCCCCAATCGCCTATTTTTATCTCAAGTCCCCAAGGTCTGGTCGGACGGCCAGCCCTGGGGGAAACGGCAGCATGTGAAACACCCTCGTGCCATAAGGAGAGTGGAAAGAAGAGGAGGAGGAGGAGGAGGAGGAGGAGGAAGAGGAGGAGGAGGAGGAGGAAGAGGGAGGGGGAGGAGGAAGAGGAGGCGGAGGAGGAGGAGGGGGGGGAGGGGGAGGGGGAGGAGGAGGAGAAGGAGGAGGAGGAGGAGGAGGAGGAAGAAGAGGCGGAGGAGGAGGAAGAGGAGGAGGAGGAGGAAAACCATGAGGAGGAGGATCGAGCCGAAAATGGCGAGGATGAGGAGGAGGAAGCGCGCGGACGCCTCCGGCCCCCTGCTGCTCTCGCGTTCCGCGGCGTAGTCGGCCGCGGTGCGCCGCGTCTCGGAGCGCTCGGCCACGCTTGCGGCGCCGCTGCGCTCGAGGAGGCGCCAGAGGAGGGCCTGCGGGGGGGGGGAGGGCGGGGGGCGGGGGGAGAGAGAGGGGAAAGGAGGGAGAGGAGGGGGAGGAAAAATGGAGGAGGGAGAGCGGAAGGGAGAATGTGCCTGAGGGAGGGCCCGGGGCTGGAGGGAAAGGAGAGGCGGGGGGAGGAGGAGGGAGATGAGAAAAATGAAGAGGCAATTCCTCAGAGGACTCCGTAAATGTTGAGCGAAGAAGGGATATAAAAGGACACAATCAGGCGGATTAGCTCACATTGAGCACCGGATCGACCCATACTAAAGTTGAAAGTGCCAGATCGAGCTGGTTGTCGGCAGCGGGTGTACGAGCGCCGATGCTGACTTGAATTTCTCAAGAGCTGCATCCTAAGAGGGGAAGAAAGGGGATAATGGATGGCTGTTTTGCTGTGTAAAAGCGAGAGGCCCAGTCAGAGCATTCCTGGATTCCCCCGAGAAGAGTTGGAACAACCTCGACAACGGCACCGGGGCCGGGAGGGAGGGGAGGAAGGGGGGGGGGAGGAAGAGGGGGGGGAGGCGAGGTGGAGGCGAACGGGAGCAGGAACGACAATGGGAAGAAACTCTAGGGGCCTGAGATCCGGTGGCTGGGAGCACCGTCGCCGAGGATGATCAGGGAACAGAGCTGTTGGGCTCATCCATTGCGGTCGCGGTTCCAGGCGAAACGCAACTCCGCGCCGTCCTCGCCAAACACGTGGCGGGCGGCCGTTGGGCCAGGTGCCCTTGTCCGTGAAGTTCTGAATGCCTGTCACCTGCTCCTCCAGCACCCTGCCAGCCGAGAGGCCGTCCGACGACGCCCCCCCGACCGAACCGGCGCCAAACCCGATATGCTCGACGTCGGCAACCTGGCATGCAGCTGCCCTGACCGCGCCTTTCTGGAGGCACAGGAGGTCGGGGTGGCGGTGTCCCCGCTGTAAGCCAGTAAGAATTCCCGTACGCGCGGTAAGCCAAGACTGTTTCCCCCTCGCCAGTCCCGTACTCGCTGCAAGCCAAGACTGTTTCCAATTGTTTCCAATTGTTTCGTTGAGGTCCCAGTGCTGCTTTAAAGACCCCCGCGGTGACACAGCGCTTGATGAGGGCCCGCACGCGTTCCGAGCGCTCTGACTGCACGTGGTCCTGTACCGCGCAGATCAGCCCCAATGTGTCTGGAAACGGAGCCGATACGGTGCGCGCGCCACCTTCGTAGGCATCGACTGGGCTGGCCACGCTGAGGCCGAGCGTCACGGCGGCCGTGCGAAAGACCTTCCAGCCGCGGCGCCACGCCGTGTAGTCTGGCGGGCCCTGTAGGTCCTTGGACCTTGGTCACCCACTCGCCAGCGGTGAAGACAAGCGCGCGGAAGCTGAGGAACTTGACAATCCGCTTCCTGAAGGGGCCGCAGATACCCAAACCGGTGTATGGGTTGTATGGGAAGGCCAAGGCGGAGATTTTCTCCAGAGTCGTATTTCACAGTCTGTTATCAGGCAGCCGTTGGTGAGTTGATCGCCTTGAACGCCTCGTCGATATCCTTCATATTGGCCTTACCAAATTCCCAGCACTCCCGCCACTCGCCCTGGATGATCACTGTGCTGAATTCCCGACCGCGGAAGCCCGCCGTCACTGGCTCTTCTTCCCTGGCTGGCGCCGGGCGCTGCGGCGTGAAGGTGTCCTGCTGCCAAACGTCGGGGCCCCAAATAAACCCAGCTGCCGTGCAAAACGACCGTGCTGTATCCCCGTGGGCGAATGGGCCGTCTGACCCCGTCGTGGATGCAATGGCCGGGGCTCGAGGACGGAAAAACAGCGTGTCCTCGCCACCTCCCAATCGCGAGACCAAGTCGCGGAAGGCATCCGCGTTGAAGCCCAACGTCTGCACATCCAACGTAACGTACACGCCTCCGTGCGTGCCGCTCGAGGCTGCGCCTCGCCCGGAGCAGCATTGGATGCTGGTGCACGCGCGGGGGGGCGCCACCCACTGGCCCCGGCGGCGGAGCAAAGCTCGCGGGCGGCGCGGCCGCCCCCGCCTTTGCGAAGGTGTCCTCCGCACCACCGATGTTGAGACCCACTGCCAAGGCGGCGGGCGGTACCACTGGATCCGCCATTCCCCTCGCGCTAGGTGTGAGCGGAGCTTGGCGGGGAAAGAATATAAAGAACACCCCCCTGAATCAGAGCGGGCGCGTCTGGACCCAAAATGGCCACGACAAGTGCGCGCCTCGCTGCACTCCCAAGCCACTCGCCCTCATTGCACCCATTCACGAGTGAACGACGGTCCCGGAGCCCAGTGAAGGCCCCAAGACGCAGAAAAGACTAGGGAAAACCTCCCGCCGTGCTTTTTCGCGACGCGAGCGGGTCTGCGTTGGGGGATAGCGTGTATAAACTTTGGGCATCCGAAATGGACGCGCAACAAGTGGGTACGATGCCAAACAGCAGATGTTGTCCAAAACTGGCAAGGGCCGCAATTGGGCAGGCAACGTTCCGTCTCAGATGGACAGCGTCTGTGGCGACACTGACAGCGAATCCTGTTCAAAACAACGAAGAACTGCTATCGGACTTCATGGGAATTCTCCCCGTCACGTTTCGAATCCGTACCGACAAGCCGGCTGGTGGCGCCACATCGCAGGGCAAGGCCAGACCTAGGACAGAAACACATCCTTCAAGAACATGAGGCCCTCCGCCGGCCCAAGCTGAGGAACCTTCGAGGAAACCCTCCCCCCAGGATGCCCAAGAACATCCAGCAAACACAAAGAACATTCGGGTACCCTCCCCGAACCAGCCTCGACCTTACACCTCGGTCTGGGACGCCGGCCGCAGGCCCGACGCGCCGGCCGCGGGCGCGGAACGGCGGCCGGGGGCGGCTCGGGCGGGTCGCGGCGGCGGCGGCCTCGTCGCAGTGGCCCATCGCCAGCAGCATCAGCGGGGTGCAGCCAGCGGCGCTGGGCTGGTTCAGCATCGCGAGCCCGCCCGCCTCGATGAGGCCTCGGCAGGGGGAGGGAGGATCGGGGCTCGAGGATCGAGGACCGAGGCTTTCGCACCCTCTTGGGCTCCGTGTGGCTCTCCTGGGCGGCCGCCCTGACGCGGAGGGAGGGCGGAAGAAGGGAGGGAATGGGATGGACTGGGAAGAATCGAGTAGGGCATCGACTACATAATTGATTCACACCAAAATAAATATTCTCGTCAGATGCACGAAAAAAGACGAATAATCCTCGTAGATCTACGAGCGTTCTACTTGTTTTGTTGGTAGATCCGACGAGAAAATCAATCTTCGGTCAGTCAATTCTGCAGTCGATTCACTCCTCCAAAGAAACAGATGGGGGGGTAGGGAAGGGGACAGCCAGGGGGACAAGGGGGTAAGAGGAGAGGGGAGGGGGGCGGAGGGCGAGGGTGAGTGAGGAAGGCGGGGGCAGGGGCAGCGAGAAGCGGAAGGAGGAAAGAGGGGGGGCAACAGGGCTCTAGCTGGACTGTGCTTTCCGCCTTCGCATGGTCTTCGATATCCTCGCTACGTCTCCGCTCCACCGGTGCTGCCAGGCGAGATCAAAACGAGAACGGCCCACAAAATCGCCAGAACACCGCTCGGGTGGAGGCCGGGGGGGCCCGGCGCGGGCAGGC